AGCCTTCATCGAGTGACGTACTGAGGCATTGTTGCCCGATGAAGGCTCCGGTAAGATGGCCAAAAGCTCGCAAATAAAAGGAAAGTATTTTAACGTAGAGAAAAGTCCGTGTATAATTCTACATATTAACGTACCTTCGTTATAAGTCTTAAAAAAATAACAACAAAATAAGCAAATATTTGATGCAATGATGAGAATAGAAACCTATAAAATCAGGTCTTTTTTCCCTTGATGCTATATATAACTGGAATGGAAAAGTCAGTGTAATAATTATAGTTCTTTAACTGTCTTTGTGTCATTTTTATGTTTTCGCTTTAGTAGCCACTATATTAAATTGTTTAGAAGTAACACCGTAGGAAGATTTTCGTGCTACAAGTTGTTTCTTGTCATGAAATGAAATAACTCAGTAAGCATGCTTCTCTTTTAAATGCATTAAATCATTAACTGCTACTGTATGAATTTGTGCACTACGTTTAAATGTTATATAAAAGTATTTACGCATTACTTTTTACTCTTCATTTCAATTGTACAATATACTTAATTACTAAGCTTCATTATCATAACTCGTATTATAATAAGTCTTGTTTAGGTAGCTTATACGAACTTGATTTTTATAGTTATTTTTATACCGCAGGAAATGCATACAAAAGCATTCATGTTAATATTATCAGAAAGTCCAAAGCAACTTGACTTCAAATCTTGAGAGATATAATATCTCATCTAACATTACCTCTTTAAGCCACTATGGTTTGATCCAAAAACACAGTAATTAAAACACTTCGGATACTTAACCAAATGACTTTAATGTCTACATACACAAAGCTTGTGATGTTAAAACCATGTTACAAGTTAAAACTTTTAAACCCAAAGTACTACAGACGCCGGATAGTCTATTGTTAACGGGCGAAGAACCTTCGGGTCCACTAATGTAATTCAGGTAAAATATTAGGTTACAAACTGATCAAACAAGAAAGTCTGAAAAGCATATCGACGAGAAAATACTTGTTTAAACTAATTATAGTGGTTACGGTCAATTAGCTTCCTGGTGTTAAAAAATAGCTGTACAGATATTTCAAAGGTGGGACAGTTTAAACAAATCCAAAAGTTCACTGGAAATTAAAAAAGTCCTAGAAACTTTAGAGCACTGAATTCTCCATCTAAAATAATAAAGATATATAACTTTAGTAGTTTCTCGGAAGTTCCTTTGTTTTGAGAAACAATGACTTATGTTCTTCGTGCTCGCTTTTTGGTTTCAATTTTTCTTTAACCTGCTTTTAGTCATTTATTTTACTGTCATCGGATACCTCCTGTGATATTGGTTTTAGTAAAGAAACAGATGAGCTGGTAAACCGCGTGTTGTTTTCTGTACTGTATGATATCGTGTTATATTGGACTTCATAGAATTATTGTGTATATTATGTTTATATCAAATTATATTATATTTCTTACGGTTATCAACTTTAAAATCCACACTATTTTACAATAGTAGAATAATTCTGTAAATGCCTGCAGCAAAAATTAGACAACTACGTCTACATAAAAAATACGTCTGTTTCTTCAGATTTGCCCCCCAGTGGCACAGCGGTATGTCTACGGACTTACAACGCTAGAATCCGGGTTTCGATACCCGTTGTGGGCAGATCACAGATAACCCATTGTGTAGCTTTGTGCTTAATTACAAACAAACAAACAATCTTCAGATTTCTTACCTTGTTCACTATTTTTAAACGTATGAATCAACTCTGCCGAGAGATACGAAAGGAAGAAAAGCATTGTATAGCTGACTGAAGCTTTTATGAAACGATTCACATATTAAATGGAACAGGACATACTGAGGAAAATATAGGCTTGCAGTATAGATTTTTAAATTTCAGGTTTTAGGCAATATAAAATTCTAAGTATTAGACATTTCAATGACACCCAGTATGGAAAGAAAACAACTCGTATTAATCTACAGATTTTCAGACTGCTTCTAAAAGCTAACGAGCTCGTGCTTGTACTTCAGGTGTTATTTGGGGTGAATCAAAATTCGGTTTACTTGTTCTCGCACAAGCTCTTGTTTACTGTACTCCTGCTAAAAATAAAACACCATATCAACTTCACCCTGTTTTATCGTACTCCTGCTAAAAATAAAACACCATATAAACTTCATCCTGTTTACCTTACTCCTGCTAAAAATAAAACACCATATAAACTTCATCCTGTTTACCGTACTCCTGCTAAAAATAAAACACCATATAAACTTCATCCTGTTTACCGTACCCCTACTAAAAATAAAACACCACCTAAACTTCACCCTGTTTACCGTACTTCTGCTAAAAATAAAACACCATATAAACTTCATCCTGTTTACCGTACTCCTGCTAAAAATAAAACACCATCTAAACTTCATCCTGTTTACCGTACTTCTGCTAAAAATAAAACACCATATAAACTTCATCCTGTTTACCGTACTCCTGCTAAAAACAAAACACCATATAAACTTCATCCTGTTTACTGTACTCCTACTAAAAATAAAACACCATATCAACTTCACCCTGTTTTATCGTACTCCTGCGAAAAATAAAACACCATATAAACTTCATCCTGTTTACCGTACTCATACTAAAAATAAAACACCGTATAAACTTCATCCTGGTTACCGTACTCCTGCTAAAAATAAAACACCATATAAACTTCATCCTGTACATCAGTAAAAACATGTTTAAAATTGGCTTTGGTATTACAGGAATTTTTAAGAAAATTTATCAAAATATTTCTGGGTAGAAAATTAAATATTTTTGTGCGAAAACGACAGCCAGGACGTTTTTCGAATGAAAATACATTAAATAATTAATCCTGCTTTGTAGCACCAAACATGCGCACTTACGAACAATTTACGTTATACTTACCTCTAAAACCTCCATGGATTTTCGAAATCAGTTTTGGTTTTAACTGTTGTTTGTTTTTTCTTCCATACTTTTGCACACTGTTAACTGTGACACAAAACTGTCGTATCTGTATTCGGGACATTTTTGTGTATGTGTGTGTTTTTTTTAATATTTTTGAGTGGTGTAAACTACAGTTTCGGTGATATTTCGTTTCAACTAAATACATCACAAGACATAAGATGAATATTAAGGTTATAACCTTTAATGGTTTAAAAATATTAAGTTGCAAAAAATTAACATTTAGTCAGTCTTCATTAGGAAATATCTAACATTTTTGGGGGAATAAGTAGGGAAACGTAAGATAAAAACAACAAAAATATTTATTAACCTAATCTATGCCAAAGCATACACAAATTATCTAATATATAATAACATATTTCAATAAAAACCACCTTCCTGGTGACTCAGCGGTAAGTATGAGGGCTTATATCGTTAAAAAATTGGGGTTCGATATCCGCGGTTAGAAGAGATAGCCCATTGTATAGTTTTGTGTTTAATAACAAACAAATTAGACATTAATGATACTTAGAGATTATGTTTCATTCTAGAATTCTAATACACAATTTTGTTCATAGCCTTGCGTTAATATTTGAATTAAGCAGATCCTTTTTGAATTTACTTATCACACATTCCGTGTATTACTTCAGCAAACAATGTGTGCTTCTTTGGAGCTAATTTCATAATATATCATAACAACTTAATTAATATAAACGTTTCTATCGTAAATATAGTTTTGATTTTTAAGCCAAAATTAGAACAAAAACTTTGTCGTATGTTTTGTTAAATTTAAGATAATTTAAATATTGAGTAGATGAAGTAACTAGAACCAATACACCAGAAACTTAATTAATGCATTCTTTAAATGTATCTGAAGTTTTTCCAAAAACATATTGTTAGTTTGATACTTCTTTTTTCAAGTGCCAACATTTCTGCCCCTGAATGATTAAAAATCGAGAAATTATTTGATTAGTTAACTAATGTTTTCATGCCGAATTGGGGCTGTGTGTTGGAGAGAATGGACTGATTTCTCCCCCAAATTCTTGGCTCAATGCAGGATCTGCTTCTGTACACTCCCATGCTTCTGTTCGAAGCTACGCCACGATCAAAAGCCAGTCACCAGTTCATAATTCACGTGGAAACCGTGAGAAGGTTAACGTGAGGCGAACAGCGTCGTCACCACCAGATGTTCATCAAAGCCTCCCGTCACTCAACCACCTTGATCCTAATTCAACTTGTGAGGACCCAAAAACGGTAACAATTTTGCATGAATGAAATGTTTCTTGTAAACATTAAGGAAAGTTCAGTCAAAATAGATAGATAAATAACTGTTTCTTTGCTACCACTGGAAAGGTTTGCTTTGTAACGGAGTTCTACACATTCCTATACAAGCGTAAACTTTCAAAAGTTCAGTTTCCAAGTTGTACAATTTAGGAGAAGAATCAAAAAGAGAAAACATGTGTTGTTGTGAATACAATGCAGAGTTGTATTCTATAGAAACTGACATTAGTCGTGCTTATGAAAACGTGATAAAGACACAGTTGTTCAAAATACACGAAGTCGGTTTTACTTAATCAAAAGTCTGAAAAACAAAGAACTTTCCCGCGGATCTGAGCTGATATCGAAATATAGCGTAGTTTCATTTCTGTTGATTATCTGATGTCACCACCTTTTTTTTTTTGTTGTTTTTTAATTTCCCCTCTACATCTTTTAACCTGGAAACAGGTGTTTGTTGGTAGATCAGCCTGTTAACCGATGATTAGAAATTCGCTTGTATCGTGACGTGATCGTTCACCGACACAAATAATCTCAGTACCTTAAATGGCATGGATGGTAAAACTAATCGAAGACTTGTGCTTAATTAACTTAAGTCACCAAAAGTATGATTTGGGCGATAGGCTTTCAATTTAGATCTAGCGATTCTTACAATAGCCTGCCTTTTGTACAGCAGCAACAACCTTACATGCTTTACTGTTTCTATTGGTTGAGTAACCTGGTGAATCATCCTACCACTTGTAATTTAACAAGGTAATAAACGGACCCATACAACAATTATATAGTTCAACAGATGGAAGTTGAACGTTTGAATGATATGGTCTTACATTTTTACAGTTCATTGCACTCCACTTATATTGCTATATGGTCAGCTAGGGCAGCCAGTTACATGCTTAAAAATCAATGTTATAAGGGTAGTCTTTTTTCATTCAAGAAATGAGTCAACCAGTTTAGCATGGTGTAGCTGAGAGTTAACTCTCATTAAGCTAAATTCAGGACCAATTACACCAGCATATGGTGTAACAAAGGGTCGTAGGATGTGGTCACTATCTTGTATCACGCTAATGGTATAATTCCATAAGAGGTGAAGATATGTATATCTATCAATGCTTATTCCACATTGCTATATGTGTCACGTTCCTTTATGAAACTGAGGAAGTATCTAACTACAGATTCTCTCCAAATGAGTATATTCTTATTATCTGGCTGCAGGGTGAAGCTCGATTCACCTGTAAAAAAATAATATTAATCTATATGCTGTTCTTCTACTTGGTTTTAATCTTGGGAACATCGGAGAGGAGTTGGTTTGTTCATTACTGTGAGCGGAATACGTATCACTGGGCTTTTCTAGTATACAGTTCGTCCTTGTGAAGTAATTTCTAACAATCTGTACACTGATAGGGCAACCAGTTGCAGCTGTGAACATCTGGATCAGTCTCGAAGCCGTTACCCTACAATTAGGGTGAGTTAGAATCGACAGATAGTGGTCGCCTGCTTGTGACGTGGATAATAATCTACTCCATCCATGTGGCCAAACTACAGTCTCATTAAATTGGAATCAATTCCACAACTTGTTAACTACACTTTGAGATACTTATAGCCATTTCGCAACAGGCTGCTGCTGTGGCTGACTAACTCAGTTAGTTTGATGACTTTCTTAATTAATAAAACATCCTGATGCCTTCTATTAGGTCTAGCCATAGTTTGTGATCAATTTGAAGTACACTGGGCTCTGTGACTTCTTTCAAGATGGCGCTTGAGATAAAAATTGTAAGAGACAACTATAAAATATATGCTGAATGACCAATTATTTGTATAAAGATATCATAACTTTGTTTAATAAGGTTTTCTGATGAGAGACCGTCTCAATATTCGGGTCAAACAATATCAACCATTTAAAGACAACCTCCCTGAAGATTCGTGACTTCACAAGTGCTTATAGATGTTCTTTTAATAAAAAAAAGTCGTGTTCCTTCATGAGAAACACACACGAATATTATTAGAGATATTTCGAGGTTTTTCATGAAAACCAGAACTACTACCCGCCAATGGAGTCACAAATGAAATAATATTAATTTAACACTCCTCCTATGGTAATATAATAACAATAAAATACAGAAAAAAATTATACTGAAAAATGGCATGCATATACATAGGTTTAAATTACGCGAGTTTTTATTTCTTGACTCACACCCATTTGGTTTTGTTTGTATATTTCGTTTTTTATCGTACTTAGTGTTCAACCTAAGGATTTATTTTCACCAGAGCGATGCTAATCTTATAAAAGAAATGTCAAAAGAAACGCTGTAATGTTTGTTTAACAAAACTATAACTTCACGAGCTAAATATGAATTATTCCTAGTGAAGAATAGTGATTTTGAGATAGTTATTGTACTTGAATTATCTCTTTATTTGTTTTTAAACTTTTGCTGTGAATTAAGCCCCTCCCTATCTTGCAGTTTATATTATTAGGTATAAGCTGAAAGAACAACCTTCCTGCATTTTTATTGATTATCAGAATTTGTAGTGCATACTAGAGGGATTTAGAGATTTTGGCAGAAAATTAAAAAAAAAGAAAACGACCCCTATTCTCCAGATAATATATATATATATATATATATATATTATTTTTATTTCACCCCCAACGTTTCGCCAATGCAGCTTTATAATGGCTAATAGTACAAGCCTTTATGAAGCCGCAATGTCGAAACGTTGGCTAAAATAAAAACCTATTTTTCATTTTTATCTAGAGAGTAAAGGTAATTTTTTAGCTTTATTTTCCAAACTCCTGAAAAACTTCAGCTCCTCTCGACCAACTGAAAATAAATCCTTTACTAAAACGTTTCACGTCTTCCGAGAAGTGCATGCTGATGGTAACTCTCCATCAGGGGCATGGCCAGGTAGTTAGGGTGTTCGACTCATAAACTAAAGGTCGCGGGTTTGAATTCTGCCACCGAACATTCTCACCCTTTTGGCCGTGGGGGCGATATAATGTGACGGTCAATCCCACTATTCGTTGGTAAAAGAGTAGCCCAAGAGTAAGTGGTGTGTGTTGATGACTAACTGCCTTCCCTCTAATCTTTTGCTGCTAAATTAGGGACAGCTAGCTCAGCTAGCTTTCGTGTAGCTTTGCGTGAAGTTCAAAACAAAACAAATCAAATCCGTCATCCGGCCTCTGATTGGCGTAGGATAACACCATCGATTAACTGGTGTATATTCAGAGTGTTCCGTGTGTGAAACTAGAGAGAAGGCCTTGGGTTATCCAAAAAATGAATGGACAAAGGGGTTACAGGTCTATTATGGGGTTTTCAAGTCCAATCAGCGGACAAAAAAACTATAAATTCACGAATACACCATTGTTACAGCTTAAAACTTAACAGTTGCATATCCCACAACCGCTGATATTGTAATCAATTAAAGACAAGGTAAACCACCCACAAGAAACGTACATCACGC